ATGATTGGGCTATTTGTTCGGACAAAAAAGGAGATCAATTCTCTATTATTAGACGAGACTCAGGTGGACTATTTTATATCTTTTTGTTTCTCACATTTGCATTTCTCACATCTGAGCGGAACCATCATCGCTCATAGTCTATTAAAACTTGCTCAGTAATTTAATCTCTAAGTTGGCTCGAAAGTACGCGTCTACATCAGTAAATCGAATTTAATACGCAATGGAAAATATTGGAAAAAATAATTAATATCTAGAGGCTGCACGAGCCGGATCGGGAAGACCCAATAGGAATGTAATCAGGATTGAAAATTAACTGCCTACGTGCGGGCTATTGTACGCCCAATAATTCAAAAATCTACAATCACGCGAGAGTTAATTAATCGCGATCCATCTGGAGAAGCGCTGACGCGGATCTACAAACTTTCCGTCGCTAATTTCTAAAGCTTTCTGCTACCTTAAAGCGAAATTCTGAGGCAATCGTGCGAATCGCGATGAGAGAGAGATTTCGATTGGATCGAAGTCCACGGAAGTCGGAAACGGCGCCTTTCTTATCCACATCCGCTTCCATCGCGAACTTACTTCAGTCGGCACTTTCCGTCGTAATCGTGTGAGTAGATACGTGACTGCGAATAAAGGATCATCGATCGCGATCGGAAATAGTAACACGGCTTTTTAACCTTTTTGAATCGATCACTTGTCAGAAACACGACAAGACGAGGTCGCCTTTGCGGTCAATTAAAATCAAAGCGCGAGGTCAGCATTGACACACCGCGATACATTTTTCCATTTCCTTTCTCATTGTCAAGACGATAGTCAGATTAATATTGTTAGATACGCATTAGAGATACATCTCTGTATGTATGTATGTATAGGTCAGTACGATTTCTCAGTAACAATTTCCCCATCAGCATCTGTCACGCAAACTGTTCTGACAAGTTCTTAAAAGACATATAAGCACATTGTAAAATATGTAAGTTGAAGTAAATATTTGTTTGTACTTGATGACATTATTTCGTTTAAGGTGAGAAGTTTTCTCTCAAATTATATGAAAAAAGATGTATAAAGTGATTAAATACGATATGCGTTTACATTTGAAATAAGTTTGTCAGATTTGTATTCGTATCAATCTCTTAATATAACTATGTTTTTAAACAAACATAACAAATGTAAGAAATTATAATAAATTAGAGTAATATACGTTGTAATATACGTTTTGGACTTTTAGGACTTTTTAATATACATTTTGGATGCTTTTAGTTTTTATTTTATCTTGTGATAAATATATGAGTTAAAGCTGATATGTGATGACATGATTTATTACATATACGATGACATCGTAGTTTTGTAACATCAATGTAGTTTACGAAATTCTCACTCGTGTGGGAAGTTGAATTAGTTCGATCTCGTCCAGCAACTATTTCTGCGGCTATCGGAATATTCAGTAAGAGAATTTCGATAGTTCTCCAGTATCGAATGCGATGAGTTACACATGTAACCCGTCGAATGAATTTTGTAGCGATTTTCCGCAACCTGTGATTACGATTCGAAGTTGTTAACGAAACTCTATTTAAAAAGAATAAATCGATATTAACTGTTTTAACTTTCAGCTGCAAAATCAAGTGCGGTAATTGATTTTCTTGATTCACAGAATTTTACTCTTTGTGCCGTTTATTACCTGTCATAGTAAATTACAATAATAATTATATTCTACTTAATAACTTTATATTGAAGAATTGTATTCGACCTCATAATAACGGTTAAAAATAGGACAACATTTTGTTGTGTTTTCGTGTATATTAAGAGTACCATAGCAGAGTATTGTCAGAGTATTGTGACACACAATAAACGCTTTCTTTTGTATTGTCCATTTTTACCATCCATCTTTTATTTTTTTGAAAAGCGTGAGCTTTTTCACAAAAGGAATTGCAGTCCGGTACAGAGAATCGCGTTCGATTATTTTATCCTTTGACGAAAGAACAATCGTTTTTAATGACGCACTTTGTTCTCCTTAATTATATTATCTTTCTTCTATTAATCGCAATGATCGGAGGCGGCTATGACAATTACGAATCACGGATTATTCAGGTATTAAATTTTACAGCGCGTGTAGAAGGAATGCGCAAAACTGAATGGCCTTTTACGTATCTGGCAGTTCCGTCACGTTCTGTACAAAATTCGCTCTCTTGGGACCTTTCCTCTGCGAAGCTTTAACTAAGAAAAAATTCATGCAAACCACTGAGAGTTAAATTTTATAATTTTTAAAATCAAGTTAGTTAATTAAGATAAAATGTCTTATTTAGATAATACATTTATAAATGTATTTAAGTAATAAAAGTGCCTTAAATACTCAAATTTAATTATAAATTAATAATAATATACATTATCTAATATTAAAACGGAGTAAATTAAAAAATTTTATTTTTATATATCATAATATAAATTATGTATGTATGCGAGTAATCTGGACAGCAATCTCAAATATTATTCTAATAAACATAAATACAAAAATATAAACATGATACATTATGTAAATTTACAATTTGTTTCAGTTAATTAATTTAACTTATTATCCGTATTTTGTATTATTATAAACATGCAATGCAAATATATCTAAAATATTAATATACAGTATTATTTCTACGTTATATACAAAAAAATTGTTTGAGTCTTGAAAAGAAATACTTTTATTAATTCATGATTAATGATTCCCTATTCCCTATTGTACGATATGATTGAATCACATTGATTTGCAAACGAATGCAGATTGATTGTCGCGTGTTTATTCAGTAACGAAACAAACGAACAGCTACCCGTGATTTTTCTCCAACTCCGCCATTGCCAATTCCCAAGAACGCAAAGATTTTTGGCAGTAGACTGCAAACGATATCGGCGAAAGTAATGTTTTAAAGTTGTCTTTCAATTTATATTAGTAATTATATATCCACGTGCAGGCAGAAGAATGTGAAGACTATCCATTCGGTGCTCGATAAAGGAGAGTTCTCAGAATTGTCTCTTCTGTCAACATTATCGAAGATTTCATCTCCGTAGAACAGAAGGTATTGATGATGATTCATAAACCGAATCTGTCAATCAGACGATTGACGTGACGATATCTATATACAGATCATTTTTTTCCATTTGAGCGAAATTCAATATCTTATTCGCGTCGGCTTCCGCGAAAAGCCAAGATATCTTGGTCGAAATATCCAACGCAAAGATTTTTGACGGAACGCTTTCTGATGAAAATAAAACTGTCTGAATTCATATTCGAATTGCGTTTTTTTACGTCGGACTGAGCGAATAGCGATCATCAATATCGTTTTTTGCGATTATTTCTCGTAACTTGTGTATGTCAATATCGTACTTAATATTAGATTGTACGCCGTGCTGTAGCCGCCCACGCGTTCGTATCACATTCACTCGGAAATTCATGCAGGAATTGAGGATTACGCCCGCGGCAGCTAAAAATTACTCTCGAATGCGCGATGCCGGTGAACAAGCCGGATGCGGAAATTTTCAAGAGAGATCAATCACAGCATCAGGTTAGTTACGCTCTGAATGAATTTATTCGAACGTGCATTTCGATTAAGTTGAGTCACTTTGCTAATTCGTTTCGACAGTTGTTAATTAAATATAATCAGAATCTGGAGGTAAAACAAAATTGCACCGACGTATCTATATTAGGTTGGCGTTAATGGCATTCGTCACGAAGAAAATGACAGAGCGTTAACAGAACAGGAAGTAATCAACGAGGCTGAGGCTGAATTCGGTGATTCCCGGATATCTCCGAGTGAGTCAATCAATTTACTTCCACGTTGCATATTTGTCGCATTAAATTTTCAGATAATTTTCGGCATGGGAACTAGTTGGATGCTTTTAATTAATTGGCGCCTCTATTAATAATTTTATTAATAAATTAATTACTTCCACTCACAAGATAAGAAACAACTAAATAACGTATTATTTGTAAAATTATAATATACATCTCTTGGTATAATTAATTACTTTTCTTATATGTAATTATTTACAATGTTCTCTCTATTTTTTCTCTTTCCTCCTTCTTTGTCTATCTGATATAGACATATTGAGTGAAAATAATTATAGATGACCGTAAAGAGTTTAATAACGTAAACGTTTTCCGCCTAGCAATCGATCAATTCCGATATATGTTTTTAATTTCATTTCATTTAAAATCCATTTAAAAATTATTGCCCTATCGTTCGAATCTATCTAGCCATCTGTTTATTTTAATCGACGTTCCATATCGATACATTCATCGTATTTTGTCCGAACGGAGAATTGAAATTTTAACAGCATCGTTAATGCTTTACGTTTATGTGCAGACTTCATATAATTTTCTTTTTGTCTCTCTGCTCTTTACAGCGATGAAAAATGTGCACGTGCACGGAATAAAGTATTGTAGGAAGAATAGAGAGATAAGATCGCAGAAAATGTTGGCTTGGAAAACCAACCAGATTCCGTCTAAAATTTCCGCATTCGTACTCGATATGAAACTTTGAAGGAATTATTTCGTGATTTATTTCGCCGCACCATCTGCGCTTCGATAAAAAAAAAGCATGTTCGTTCGACCATGCAAGCGTAATTTTCCTGACTTACAGTTCAGTCACGGTGACGAATGAGATTACTTTTCGTTTGATCTTTTCTCCAAAGATTGGCAATACATATCAATTTACATTCGCAAATCGCGTTTCAATCGCAAGACTCATCCGTATTTATTATTGCCGTGTGATTGGTGTACTATCGATTTGCCAATCGCGATATACGACAAATGGTTTATTTAGAAAGGTAAACCGCGAAACGCAATAGGCTCTATGTGTCACTGTATCGATTTTACATATTACAATTTAACAATATGTATTATATAAACATTAACAATAATACTCTGTACCGGTAGTGTATAAATAATAAGAGTTGTGTTGTATAATGATTTTTCGTAAAATACATTAATATAACAAATGCTATACTATAATGTAAAAGATTCCCCATAGTTTAAAGTAACATTTATAGTTCCCAAAACGATGACAGATTCTACAGGTACTCGATGGACCTCGAGCCCATCAGAATCAAGGAAATTACCGGAATTAACTCGAACGATGTCGAGGACCGAAGCTGTTAGGCAAGACGTCAGGAGGTTGAAGAGCGTCACGTTGGATAGAATGGGGAAGATGTTTAAGACGCGTATGTCTGCTGTGGGAAGATCTTCTTTAGGCTTGGACACCGTAAGTAATTTGGATCCTTAGGGCGTCATGTTTCACAAATGTAAGATGCTTCTGGGGGCGTGCGGGCTTCAGTAATATCTCATGATATATGAAGAAAGTTTGAATCCTGAGAGTGTCAGGATAGTGAAAACGAATTGTAATACATACAGGCCGCATCCAACCTTGAATGCATCTTAATAGTTTTGTCCGCCTACGTATTGTGCGTTTCATATCTGCACCAGATCATTTCAAAAGTTTTTACGTACTTTTTATTAACTTTATTTCAAAAAATAAGCCTGAAAAAAAATTAATTTAGCCTACAACACAATCTCTTTCTCAAATAACTTTTCTAAAGTCTTCATTAAATAATTTAATATTTAAGAAATTTAATGGGTTTTAAATATTGTATCAAGTAATGTATGTTTTCGATCAACGATTAAAATATATTTTAACATACTTTAATATTACCAAATAATATATAAAGTTTTTTGAAACAACCTAATTTGTTTGTCTAAATTAATCTCGTTAACAAATAATAAACGTTTAATTGATTAGTCTGTTATAATCAGTGAACCAGTATGTCAATATAATAATCACTATGGATTGGATGCTTGCAAAATAGAATTCATTAATCAAAATTAGGCGTCAATTATATTTATATTAAAACTGAATATTTAATAGACTAATAGACTAATGTAATAGACTAATTTAATAATAGTAATATGTTACATGTTATTTTTACGTAATAATATTCGAATAAGTCGGCATAACAAATTTTCTTAACAACGTTAAGCATTTTGTACCTTATGCAGAATGCGACGAGCGTCAATGATTATGATGAAAAAGCATCAAAGAAAGAAAAGACAAACTCTTTGGGAAGGATGCTTAAGCTCGTCGACAAAGATTGGTTCGCCCAGGAAACTTTTTGTTCGTCCCCG